TTACTACATGTGTGTGGTCCTAAGAAGGGCATGCACTTAGGTGAAGGGGTTTACAGCTGAGGCGGACTCAAAAGGAAGTGACCACATTTTCCACAGTGAAGAAATAAGTCCCTTCTTAATGGTTGATTCAGATGGCACCTCTCTATGTGTGCACCATGCTGCTTTGCAATAAAAGGAACTAGATTTCTCTGGAATATTGGATCCAAGGAAAGAAGAAAATTAAGGGACTGGGGAGAAGACTTAGTGGTTAAGAGTATACGCCTTTAATGCCAACACTCAGGAGGTAGAAACGGGTGTCTCTCTGTGAATTTGAGGCCAGCCTAGTCTACATAGGACAGCCAAGGCTATGTAGTGAGACACTGTCTCAAAAAAACAAAGTACTCTTCCAGAGGACCCAAGTTCAGTTCCAAGCACCCATATTAAGCAATGTGCAACTACCTGAGACTCTACCCCAGTTGATCTGATGCCCTCTTTTGACCACCACGAGTACCTGCACTTATGTGCACATATGTACACAGAGATACACAATACAATACATAGTTTAAAAATCTTTTTAAAAAGGGGGACGTTAGACTGGAATAGCTTATAATGTAAGAAAGTGTGAAAAACATTTAGTAGATTCATTAAAACACCCGATGGAAATCAACAAAAAAGGGCTCCAGTCCCTAGCCAAATCTTTTGAGGAAGGCAAGGTTTCTTTAGGCTTACAGGGCAGGTTTCAGCTAATATGTAGCTTGAGCTGGCTTCAAACTTGTGAACCTCCTGCCTCAGCCTCTTGAGTGTTGGGATTATAGGCATATGTCACCATACCCAGTTTAAATTTGGGAAAATTTGACATTAAATTTAGGAGGTACAGGAACAAATTATAACATATTAAATAAGACAGAGTTCATGTGTTGGGATATTTTTTAAAAGCTCCAGAGAAACTGGGAAGTGGTGGCACATGCCTTTAATCCCAGGATTTGGGAAGTAGAAGCAGGTGGATCTCTGAGTTTGAGGTCAGCCTGGTCTACAGAGTGAGTTTCAGGACAGCCAGGGCCAAACAGAGAAAACTTGTCTCAAAAAAAAACTCAATAAATAAATATAGAGAGATAGAGGGAGGACGACGAGGAGGAGGAGGAGGAGGCGGAGGAAGAGAGAGAGAGGAGAGACTCCAAAAATTTGTTCTTTATTGAAAAATCTCAATGACTGAATGTGGGAGAAATTGTAGAAATTGTTGCGTAGGCACCATAGTAATAACTGAGTCAGACAAGGAGTTTGTCTCTCTCTCCACCCACGTTTTTGTTAATTGCCACTTTGTTTTTAGCTGAAATACACTTCACCCACTGTAAAAATGCATAGTTAATAGAAGTTTAGTATGGTGACAAAGTGGTACAGACAACACCATCATCTAATTCCAGGACATTTTCATTGTCCTAAGAGGAATGCCGTGGCTACTCACTCTTCCTCTCGTTCTCCATATTCCATCTTCTCCCCGGGTCTTGTCTCTATGGGCTTGCCTAGTCTTGATATTTCATATAAATGAATTCAGCAAGATATTTCGTATCTTTTTGTTTGTTTTTAACACTTTGAGGCAGAGCCTTATTATGTAGCCCATCTGAGGTTAGCCTCAAAGTCAAGAGCCTCATGTTTCAGTCTTCCTGTGTACTGAAACAATAAGCACACTGCTGTGCACGCCTAGCTTTTATGGTTGTCTATGAATTTCATGTTTCACATCTTAGATTTGTTATATCCTTGGTCCCTTTTGTGTTTTTTTTGTTGTTATTGTGGTTGCTTTGCTTTGTTTTCGCTTTTAAGCATGTGGGGGATTTACCTGTATGTTTGTCTGTGCACCACATGTGAGCCTGGTTGTGTCCACAGAGGCCAGGAGAGGGGCTTGGAGTCCCTGGGAATGGAGTTGCAAACAGTTGAGAACTGCCATGTGAGTGCTGTGAGCTGACCCTAGGTCCTTTGCAAGAGCAACTGGTACTCCTAACCACTGAGCCATCTCTCCAGCCCCTTGATCCTTTTTGAATGAATTTATGTGCTTGCTAAGAAGAAGGGGTCCAGTTTCATTTTTATGGTTATGCATATCCAATTGTACCCTACCTGCCACAACTATTGATCTGCGTTATCATTTTCTCTCTTAAAGATTTATGTTAGGGGATGAGGAAGGAAGAGGATATAAAGTTAATTGTTTTTCTAGCTTTAATTCTGTCATAGACATTGCTTCTGGTTGTAGATATGTACATAAAAGTGTATTCAATAGTGAAAGTATAAAATCCAATGTGAAGCTTCACAGTTTCCATTTTGATGGCTACTCTAACTGTAGAGAAGTTCACTGAGTTGGGCCTGCTTAATTTTGGTGTGTTAAGTTTTTATTTGCAACATTTTCATAATAAAATTTAAAATAAATTTAAATGAAAAAATAAAATAATATAAAGCTATCCTAAACAAAGTGTGTGTGTGTGTGTGTGTGTGTGTGTGTGTGTGTGTGTGTGTTTGTCTGCATACGTTATACTATATGTGTGCCTTGTGCCTGCAGAAGCCAGAGGGGGGCTTTGAACCTTTGGAGTTAGAGATGTTAGACTTGTGAGCTGTTGGGTGGGTCCTAGGAACTGAACTTGGGTCCTCTGTCGAGCAACCAGGGCTCTTAACCTCTGAGCCATCTATCTCTTCAGCTCCCCTTCCACCCTACCCTGTCTTGGCACTCTTGTTTAAAAGCAATTTCCCAGTGTAAGGGTTGCTTTGAAAAGTCCATTTTAATTCCCAGCATGGATTTATAATTATTCATATGCCAGTAGCACACAGTTTTGATTACTACAGCATTACATTTACTTTTGCAATTAAGAAGAATAAGTCCTCCAGTTTCGTTCTTTATTTTCAAGGTTTCTTTGACTGTTCTGGGTCAACTGAAGAGTCATATATTAGTTTCTGGAGAAAAAAAACAGCTGAGATTTTGATAGGAATTGTGTTGACTTATTGATAAATTTGAGAAGTATTGATGTCTGACATAAAATTATTTGAACATATATGTATATATAAATAAGATTTTTATTTGTATTAGAGGAATGAAGGTTTTAAAATGTGTGTGGAAATATTCTGATTGTATTTTCAACTAACTTTAAATGATTTTAATGTGTTATCTTATCCAAATTGCATACCTTTTTTTTGAAAAAAAGCATGCTGTTTACACTATACCAGTCAAATAAGACAAAAGATAACTACACTTGTGTAAAAGCACGAGTGGGAAAATGGCAAGTTGGGGAGGGACGCTCACATTTTCCACGCACCTATTTGTCTAATGTTATTATCGAAGGCCTTATGCATGATCAGTAATGCCATAGACAAATAATCTTGTGACATAAGTACCCTCCGTTGCACATATGGAAATTGGGATAAATGAAAATCACACTAGTGTCCACAAAGGAGTGTCAGGACGCGACAGGTGCATTCACTAGCGAGGAACACAAGACTTCCCACTGTACTTCCCACAACTGAGTGGCCTGAAAACATTGGCTCAGGCCGGCGACATTCCTTTTCTGCTTCCTCCACAAACCTTCTCCCACTTTACAAAGGAAGAAAGTCCTCTTCCCCAGCCACTGGGACTCTGGTTCATCTCCCAGGGGAGAGGAACTTCCCGGTGTTGATGTTCGAGCCTGAATCCTCAGCTGCATAACAGGACCTTTTACATCACTGGCGGTTACAGATTCTTTGCTTTCAACAAAGTTGCTGAAGGATTTTATGGAATGGTGAGTCAATAGACCATTATAATGACTTTTGATGGTAGACTGTCATAATATATAACTAAAAGAAACTGAGCGGGCTGGAGAGATGGCTCAGCGGTTAAGAACACTGGCTGCTCTTAAAGAGGACCTGGGTTTAGTTTCCAGAACCCACATGGCGGCTCAGAACTGTCCATAGCTCAAGTTCCAAGGGGTCCAACATCCTCACCCAGACATACATGAAGGCAAAACATCAATAAAATAAATATAAAATAAATAGACAAAAAATCTAAAAACAAGAACAACAAAAAACAAAAAAGAAAGAAGAGATTGTGTGAGAAAATGCTGTGAGAATGATCTCAATCCTTCTATTCAGTTATTGGGACAGCGCTTAACATCTACATTTGCTAAAGTTAGGAAAAAGAAAAAAATGCGAGACTTGCCTTACCTAATAACAAAGAAATGGATCCACAAATATATGAACTAGATAAAAATACCTCTTCATTCTCTAGGAGTATATCGCCAAAAATTTTGTAATAGCATATTTGAACTATTTTTAAAAACAAAGTTCTTTTTTAACTAAAGATACTCTATCTGTAATCATATTGGTAATGAAGAAGATAGTTTAAAAGGATACACTAAACTACCTGACTACTGGAACAAAGGACCCTAAAGATTCAGCTTGCCCCAGGATTCTCATGTTGAGAGAAGGGAAATGCTGAAGCCTCCTGCTGGACAGAGGAAGAGATTTCATGTGGTTCTAACAACGTATGAGCCCACCTTGAAGCCCTAGGAAATGGGGTGCCAATAATGGCCAGGACTACATGTTGGCAAGGACTGCTCAGCTATGTATATTTCTTGTCTTCTGTTTAAACCATGATCTCATTGTAGTACCCCAAAGACAAATATGGGGTCACTGCACCTCTTTATTTGTGACTATATTGAATCAATCTTACTTTTCTACTTTTACTATTACTTGTCTCTTGAACTTGCATATGGGAAGGTAAGTTTGAGCCTAGCTTATTGGCAATGATAAATTCCAAGCTTTAACCCTAAAATCTCCAGTAACACAAAAAACATATAGCCTTATGCTAAAAGAAAAAGGTTAATTTTAATTTATGTATATTTTTACAGAGAAATATATCAATAAACCAGGTACAATGCCATACACTTATTTTCTCAGCACGTGGGAAGCGAAAGCAGAGTGATCAGAAGTTTAAGGTTATCCTCAGTTACTTAGTGAGTTAGAAACCCACCTGAGCTACATAAGACCCTGTCTCAAAAAAAAAAAAGGCCATATTAAATGGCAGGGAAGATACCATGAACAAGAAGATGGTTTCCCAGGGCAAAGCCCCCCATTGCACTGTGGGTGTGCCGATTGCTGTGAATTTTTTTGAATATGGAAAACTTGACTAAATCATTTATGATAGTGGGAGACTGTGTCCATACTCTCCCCTATTAAAAAAAGGTCTATGTCAGATGACCCAATCCAGACTCACTTGCTTAAAATATGTTACATTAGAACTAACCTCTGTTGCAGAAGGGAATGCAGCTATGATTTTAAGGAAGAAATAAAGAGAATAATGTAAAATGTTCAGCTGTTAATGGCCTATATTTAAGCGCCTACTGCTGGGTATAGGTTGTAGTATTTAATTCAACTGGATGAATACAATAAAGTGATGTAGCCATTTTACCATAGAATATAAATACTTATAATAGATCAAAAATAAATTCTTGTTTGTTGCTGTTTGAAAATGGAGTGAAAGGTTTCTATATATTAATTTATAATATATAGGGAAAGATGCATACAGTTGTTGAATTCATTATATAAATCATGCCAGCAAAAATGTTTGAAGATACATGAGTTTATAAATTTCCCTGGACCACATAACCAACAGGGGATCATACTCACACTTGAGTCCATGTCCGCAATAGTTTTTCTACTATACCTGAAGGACACCTAAATCTATGGATGTTAATTTTGATTATTAATTCTATTCAGTTTAAAAATAAATTATTTGGTTGTCCAGTATTAGCAAGGCCTTGTTCTTGGTGCCAAGATGTATACACAGAGGAGTAAAATATGTTACTTACTTTTTAGGAGATGAAACTTTATAGGGGACATAAACTTCTTTATAATCTTAACGTAAATTTTGTGTAACAAGGACAAGAGGTCCTGGTGACAACGTCTGTGGGAAAAGGGAGGTATCGTTTTGCACTGGGTCATCGTGGAAGAGTTTCTGCGGGTTCTTTGCAAAATGGGTAAATCTGGACTGTTGGAGAAAAGGGAGACGGCAATGAGAATCCATTTGTTCACACACCTATCCATTCACTCATCAATGAAACATTAGCTAAAAACAGAGTAATATGCGTAATCAAATGGGTCTTTAAACATGCCATGTTTGGAAGAAATAACTGCATGAAAACATGTGAGACATTAGGGAATTCTGAAATCTAGCTTTTTGTTGATGGTAAAGATTTTTTTAAGTTAATTCCTCTTAGGTATGATGATATTGTGCTTTTGTTAAAAAGGAAGGAAGTCTTTGCCTTTTAGCAATGTACCCTGGAGTATTTTTTTAATGGAGTGATACTTAGCATTTCATTCTAAGTAGTCCAGAGTGTGTGGTTTGGGGGGAATGGGTGGAGGGGTCTAAATAAAATAAAATGAATCAAATGTAGATAACTGTTTGATGCATGGGAGTTTATTATACTATTTTTTTCTATTTTGCTTCCAAGAAATATCTTTAAAAGAACTTCCAGGTTCCAAGAAACTGGAGGGAGATATAATCGGGTAATACATGTTATATTGTCCATCATTTTGCGGTGGGAATAGACACATGAAATTACCTGGTATGTCACCATTGTCTCCTGTGCAAATGGCATGATCCAAGTGCCATGGACCAGTGGGTTCTGTCTGACATACTTAAAGGCAGTTTGTAAGAGGGAGTGAGGTTTTAGTATCTCAGAAGGTGAATTTACCAGACTTTGTAATTTATTGAATATGGAATCAAAAGTAACGGGAATTTTGACCTTGAATGCCGGGGATGACATGTCCACAATGGAGAGAGGAAACAGAGGAGGAGAAATAGGTCGGAATGGAGATTGGCACAGAGTTCAACCCTAGACCTTCAGAGGCTGAGCTACTCTGCAAATGCAGAGATGGTAATGAATTCACCGAAATAGTTCTAGGCAGAATAAACTTCAGTAATAAAAGATAAGGTGAAAAAAAAAGATATGGTGAAGGAAATACACAGACTACATTTCACGGTCCCTTCAGTCTCCAGGTTGATGCAGCGTAGGCTCTGAGTGGGAGTATGGCTGGCTGGAGAGGTAGATGAGGTCATGTTGGTCTCCATCATTGTCATGGGGCTTGATAAACCTGAAACAGACCAAGTGATTTAAATCTTAAACTCTCTTGTGGAAGGGGAACTTGATGCTCAGGAATGACGCTTTCAGAAAACAACTTACCTGAAATAAATAACCAATCAGGATCGGTAATAAGTGATGAGCATTCTTCTTTTGTTGTTTTGGAATTACAGTTTATTGGTTTGGATGTAGACTCTAGAGCCTTCATGTTTTCTTTTGAAATCCTGACTCCAAAATTCCTTAGCCACACTCTTCTCCTCTGCAAGGTAGGAATCATAGTATCTAATATGAGAGTAATCAGATGGTGACTATAGACTCCTGATACTTCTGAGAACCTAAAATTATCAGTCCTTATAATCCCCCCCAGCTCTTCCTTCTCTCTCCTTGTCCTTCACTCTCTCCCTACCCCCTCCCTCTCAGTGCATGCCTCATGCCAGGCAGGTACTCTACCACTGAGCTATTTTCTTAGGCCTCTCTCTATCAGTACTTTTTGAAGACAAGACAAAGGACTTGATTGCTTTGGGATATTAAATGCTCCATAGTTCCTTCCAACAGGTTTTAAGTGCTACTGAAATTGAATACCCCTTTCCCTATGTCTATTATATTACTCAAGAAAAACCAAGCAAACCCAGGTCTGAGATTATGCTATCTGAATCTAGCCTATTATTTTTTTAATCTTCACACTGGAACATTACAAAAGTGTTCTAACACAAACACTCCATTTGAACAACCCCTTTCCTTCTAGCTTACTTATTCAGCAACACGACCACAGTTCTTTACATGCTTTCATTGAAACAGCGTGTTTCTGTGATCTCCAGAAGCAGAATTCCAATGCAAGAACATGAAGAGTTAAGAAGGCAGGGTTGGCTTTGGGTGTAGATTTAGCTGGGGTGATGTGGGGCCAGATGCCTTATGCCTACAGGGAGCTTGATGAACGTCTACAAAACGGAGGAAAGGAGGGAAGGAAGAAGCAGGAAGGAAGGTGTGGAGCAGAGAAGTGGTGAGGGTTGAAGGAGGGCAGGAAAGAAGAAAGGATAAAGGAATGAAAGGGAAGGGAAGGGATAATTAATACCAATTGAGCAATGGAAGGTTCCCTAAGAAAGGGGTCTGTAGGATCTCTGCTAATTCAAGGCCAGCATGGTCTCTACAAGGCTGGTTCCAGGACAGCCAGGGCTGCTATATAGAGAAACCCTGTCTCAAAAAATAAAGGAAGGGAGGGAGGGGGGAAAGGAGGGAGAAAGAGAGAGAGAGAGAGAGAGAGAGAGAGAGAGAGAGAGAGAGAGAGAGGGAGGGAGGGAGGGAGGGAGAGAGAGAGAGAGAGAGAGAGAGAGAGAGAGACTTCCTGTTCAAAGATATATTCTATAGACAGACACTTGCGCCCCTCCTTTTGGCTAATAGAATAATGAAACAATCGCAGTCTTCCCAGGAATCGTGCTGGGGGAAGGGAAAGGTTAAAGGAGAACCTGCTTTCCAAGAAAAGATTGCACTGTTTTGACAACTTGTGATCAGACCGCCTTGTGAGACTTATTGGAGCCTAGTGATGTGTCACAGATAGGCCAGATCACAAACAACTTAACCAGCACTGCTTAGCTTTCCATACTTCTTGCGCTCTATTCAGTCCTAATCCTCATGTGAGATGGACTTGAGGGTCACTAGACCTCTTTATTTGTTCCTCTTCTCAATGTGGCTGCAGAGAGGAAAGCTCCTTCCTTTCTCTGCTTTTCACTCTTACTTGCGTCTTTAATAAGCAGAGAGAGGGGGTAGAGCCGATCTTGTTAGAACTGCCAGAGCCCAGGCTTTGATCCTAAAATCTCCAGTAACAGGCTTTCTATCCAGAGCCATCCAGAGCTTTCCATTGGGAGCGTTCTTGGCCATTTCTTTCTGGTCGAGCCTGGGGGCTGGTATGTAGGGGAGCTGCTTGAAGAGGAGCTAATTGTTCAGTGCTTTCCCATGATCGCCTGGGGCAGATCAGTTTCTGTGCTAAGTAATGGGCAGCAAGACTTAGTTTGCTAATCCAGAAATACCAAACCTCAGTGATTCTAAGGGCTCAGAATGAGGAGAAAAAAGAAAGAAAGAAAGAAAGAAAGAAAGAAAGAAAGAAAGAAAGAAAGAAAGAAAGAAAGAAGGATCTGGGGAGCAAGGGAGGAAAGGGTGTTTTGAAAATAGCTCCTGGTAAAAGAGGCCATCACCTGGTTTGTGAAGCTTGGAGAAAACAGCAATGTTTAGACTGTTCGCTTGGCTTAAACCCACAGCTGCTCCACCTCTCAGCCGCGTCCGCTTCTGCATAAAGCACCAATTCTCTCCTTCGATCTGGCCTTCATTTTGTATCGAGACTCTGAACTCCGTTAATGGACCTTCCTCCTGCCTCACCAGGGTTAGTCCCTACTCTAGCTACCCCAACCTTCCAAATTCACAACAGAAAATGGAAGTTTTCCTGGACCCTACTCATCCCCCCCCCCAGTTCTTTCCCTTTCTGTTCCCCTTTACAAGGGAAGATTTCAAAGCAGCTTTCTCTAGTCCACCTGCAGTTCTCTCAATCCTCTTCTATCAAGTTCTTCTACTTCTGTTCACGGGCATGGTCGGATTCTCCTGGATATTTTTGCCTCTACTTCTTCTGTCTGGAAAGTTTTCCTTTTTATCGTACTGCTTTTATACCATCCAAGGCTTAGATTAAAGGCCATCTTTTTACACTATTTGCAACCCCATCTTATCCTGCAGTTTATCCAAGTGTGATTATTTTCTCGCTTACTTATATTCTCTTTTGCTCCACCAGTTAGGTAGCATGCATGCACAACTGCACTCTATCTCCAGCATTTGGCCCAGTACTTGGCACATAGTGAGGGCTCACTGAACTGAAGGAGTGAAAGATCAAGTCACACACTGTCCGATGTGCTTTCGGAGTGATGGAAAAGCCCCCTAGATAAAGGCTCTTTTCGTTCTGTCCTGCATGTTAGTACGGGGAGAGGTCGTCGGTGGGTGTCTTAGCACGATGAAAACCAAGAGATCCGCAATCGCGGGCAGTAATGGGGTGTGCAGGTCAGCCAGGCCCCTGGAGAGGCGAGAGGCCACCTTGGCTGCCTCTCTTTGTTG